CTGGAACTGAGAAGGGGACCTGTGAGTCCAGACCAGGGTGGCTGGAGGGTGGGGAAGGTCTGCACTTTGGGAAAGTCAGCAGAAGAAGCCAGTGGGGAGATGGGGCCCAGACTGGAAAGAGCTCAGGTCACAGTAAGTTTTGTTTGCTATTTGTACGATTTTGAAAGCAAGAAACAAGAGTCTACATGGAGTTTCCCATTTGTCCTCTGCTGTAGGATTTTAAATCTCAACTCGTTGGTTCCTTTCCATGGAATTCTCGCAGGTTCTTGTCTGCCTTCTTCTTTTATCCTGTTCCCATGGGTGTGTTTACATGGAAACATCTATGTGGATTTTGGCTGTCAGAAGTTTGCTTAAATTAAAAATCTCAGGTCCACTCAAGACCCACGGAGTCAAAAGTCGTGTTTAAAAGATTCCCAGAAGAGTCATGTGATAATTAAATTTTGCGAATTCTTGTTTTAAAGCTCACACACTTGATTTTGCTTCTGAATTGTCCCTTGAGACTCAGTCTGTCCTTCTCACAGAGACCCAGCAGACTCACATCTGCTTTCTCCATTTGCCTCCCATTCAGTGTGACAACAATCACCCCTGATGACACAAAATGCACAGAAATACCCAGAAGTGTGTTAGTAATAATGATTTAATAATAAGTCCCATTAGTAAGTATAGTATCACCACATCTTTATTGGTACTTGAAAACATAGAATTAGACCAACCCCATAATACATTATTATCAGTTAGAATAAGACAATAAAAAATGGTCAGCAAAATATGCTTGTTAATAAAATGAAAATTACTTATGTGAATCTTGACTGAATATAGAAGTGAATAGAAAACTATGTTTATTGATTTGATTTGATTAAAGGAGTTGGAAGTTTGGAAACAATCATGAAGGAAATACACTCAAATTCTGAAATAAAGTTCACATGTTTTAAGAAGAATACTTCTCAAAAATTTACTTTTTAATATTTTTGTGCAATGAACATGTATTTCTCCAAAATGCAACAAAATATAATAATGTTAATATTTTAAGGAAAGTCTCCTGCCCTTTGTGCATGGCCAACAGAGGCCATTGTCAGTGGACATTGAGTCCAGCCCCTCACTCTGAGGCAGGCTGGGATTACAGCACCCTGGATTCCGTGCTTTCTGGACTAGTTCTTCACAAATCATCCATCATTTCCTCAACTACAAGCCTCAAACACACACAGGATTCAGTTCAGACATGTCCCCTCACCTGTTCTTCTTTGGGTGGTCACAGTTTAGACTGCCCTGAGAATTCAGGCGTCTGGTCATGTGATCCTGGTATGTTATGATTATATCTGCACCCAGGCTTGGTTAAGAGCAGGCTTGTGCCTTGATCCCCATCTGGGTCACTCACTGAACACTTCTCCCATCCATCACTGGGTGGGATTCAGTGCTTAGCCCTCACTGGCTTCCAAGGGCCCCTCAGTCAGGGGTCAGGGTGGGCGTCCTGTAGGGCTGCCCCTCAGGCCATGT